ACTCCCCAGGGCAGTGGACCTGGTTTGTCCATTGTGTTCCCATATCGGGTAGAACAGAGTGGCCAACAAACATGGCCACCGAGGACTACAACACCCAGCCATCATGAACTCTCTCCTGTTCACATTCACCCCATTCTGATTGCACACACCTGGACTCTGTTACACATATATTCCTTTTATTTAAGGACTCTCAGTTCAGACACACATTGTGAAGTATATGTGCAGTGTCACATACCTTTCTATACCTAGCCTTATGAGACCCTGCTATTGTGTTTATGGTTTATGGACTTCTGCCTGTTGGTTGACATTGATTCAACTCCTCATTTTGGATTTGTTTGCCATTGTTAAAATACAAATCCTTAACCTGCAACCTGTCACCGTCTCCACTGCCTGAGAATGTAATTAACACAGCAAATCCTCAAGGAGCGCTTCTTTGAATTTACTTTTGAACACGATATCACTGTAGAATTACAGTATGTGTTCATTCTGAACACTGAAGTTTACACAAATGAGAAGAACCATATAAAGCAACAATTATATAAAGTCCATGTATGTTTAAGGTCTCTCTAACAGTGTGCTTGGCCTTCTCATTGATTTTCTTGACATCTTCTTGGTTTAATCTGAAAAAAAGATTAAAAGCCATGGTCCACAAAGAGTTTGCAAAGTATGTGCAGTATTTCATTGTCGAAAGGTATGTATCAGGAGTGGGGTACAAAAGAATTTCCAAAACATTAGATGGAAAATGGAACATCATGAAGGCCATCATCACCATAGTGACATCACGAAGAACAGGGCATACCTCCAAAATTAATGAAAGGACAAAAAGAAAACTTATCATGTAGGCTATCAAGAGACCTTTGGCAGATGCAGAAATATCTGGGAAGTACTGGTCACTCCCTGCAACAATCTCTCATATTCTCCACATGTCTGGGCTATGGGTAGGGTGGCTAGACAGAAGCCCTTTCTCACAAAAAACAACAACAACAACAACCACACATGATGATGCACAGTGTTAGAGAAAACCTGTTATTGGATTTAAGGGAATGGCTCTTTCCTGACTCATGTCTTACTTTGACTTATTATTATCAGTTTGTAGATGTAAAAGTTGACTCCTCTATGAGTACAAAAGTAAAGTTTGGTGTTCCTCAAGGCTCTGTTCTAGGCCCACTGCTTTTTACCGTATATATGCTACCTTTGGGTATGATTATTCATAAACAGATGACAGATGTCAGTTTAATAAAGTTGAACAATCTACAAAGTATACTAGACACTGGATGTTAAGTAACTTCATCCTACTTAATTCTGACATGACCGAATTACTTCTACTACGAACACAGGCAGCTAGAAGTAAGCTTTCTGATTATGTTGTACCTTTGGATGGCCTTTCAGTTACATCATGTGCAGCATCTGACCTTGGTGTATTGATTCCTGTGTCTTGTTTGAACTTCATGTAAATATTACTAGTATAGACTATTTTCATCTCAGAAATATTGATAAGATAAGAGATATAATGTCACTCCATGAAGCAAAAAAAATAGTTCATGCTTTTGTTCTTGCAATGACTTGCTGTGTGGATGTTCCAGTAGGTGTGTAAACAAGCTACAGAATGAAGTAGCCAGAGTTCTTACTAAAACCTGAATAGGTAGAACCTGGCATAGGTAGTACAAGAGGGTGAGGACTGCACACAAAAACAGATTATTATTTAGCAAAGAAAAGTGTATAATTGTTGATATGGTTTAACATTTTATAGAGTCTTGGGTGTCAGTGCTTCGTAAAAGTCAATAAGTTTCCTTGTGAGATAAGGGAGTTAATTCCTGTTAGCGCTTATAGCAGATATATACCGTTGTTCCCTCACCAGCCTCTTCTTTTCTCTCTTTCTTGAAATCAATGAGACAAAAAAAAAAATGCAGCTTGTATAAATAAAAAATGCAGTATATTACAGAGGAAGCGCAAATTCTTCTGTCCTGAAGACTCAAGGCTTGTGGACTTTGTGTAACATTAAATGTATGATAAGTTAAAAAGTACAATGTGGCTTCATTCCTAAATTAAAAATTTGCAGTCATTGGCAAACTGTGTTTGTTTCTTTATTTGTTTACATGTATATTATTATTTTAGCAGTTGTAGTAGCTGCAGTTATGGGAATCCTGAAAGTCGGGGATGCAGCACCCTCAACACCCCTAAATCAGACGCCCTTGGATACATCTGATGTCTTTCAAACAGAGTGAGACGTTATGTCGCATCTAGTAGGGACAATTCATCACCACACCACCAGAGGGCAACCTCCCCCGAATTCTAGTGCTCTTCTTTGGTTGTTAGTGGGACTTCCTGTTTGTGTATTATGTAAAGCATATGGACACATGGCCAGATGTGAAGTTTTGCTGATTATTTAGTGATTTGTGTTGGTGACTATGTTTACATGCACATCAATATTCTAATAATAATCAGAATTTGGCAATATTCTGATTAGTCTTGAGTCATGTAAACACTGCAATCCGATTGCCCGATTCAGATTAAGACAATATTCTGATTCCCCAAATTCAGAAAATACAGTCTGCAAGGAATTGTGGGTGCTAACAGATGCGTAGCTTAACAGATGCTTTCCTGACCCTTTCCATTTTGAAGCGGTGTTGTCGGGCATTTTTGATAGCGGGAAGTGTTAGAGTCCTAATTAACTTCGTGTGAAAAAGTAGTAATAAAACTAATAACTGAGCATTTTGTCAATCTTTTGCACTACTGTCATATGATTCACTTTTTTATTAGAACTGTGTGCTAGTCAGTGCTGCACTGTAACTCACCATGCCCATTGTCTTGTTTTGATAGTTTTGTACTATCTTGTGCCTTTGCACATGTTTGCACTGTGCACTTTATGTAAATATATGTAATGTCTCCTGTAGTTCTGTGTTTTGTTTTATGTAGCACCTTGGCCCCGGAGGTGAAACATTGTTTCGTTTCACTGTGTACTAACTAGCTATATATGGTTGAAATGACAATAAAGCCACTTGACTTGACTTGACTCTATAACCAATGGCAGCATCTTGAATCTCCTGGGAAATAACAGCCGGAAAGGAAAAGCACATGTGTAGATCGGCATACTTACAGCAACCATATATACAGGAATATCCCAATGCCTAAATATAGACCTTAAGCAGAATTTGATGTGCTTATAAACATAGTCAGTGTTGTGCTTGTTATTCCTGATTGCTGTTTTGTGTTTGACCCCTGCTACTCTTCCCAGTTTTCCTGATTTGTTGATTTATCCTCTGGTTCTGGTAACTCTGCATCTAGTGTCGACCAGAGAAGCTTCTCTGATGCTTTGAACCTTCTTGAACCATTGTGTTCAAAAATTGGTTTGCTAATTGAAGCTTCATTCATAGTGTATGTGGGTGACATCTACTGGCTAAGAGGATGTTGTGCACTCAACCAAGACACCATTAATGGATCTTTTGGATGTGATGTATCTTGTACATGTGCATTAAATAGACCAATTTTCTGAAATTATCTGTAATGTTGATTCCGAATTCCAGTTGGCAGGTCAGATACTGTAATGTACATTTCCACTCTTTCTATGAAAAGAGTGCTACTCTTATTTCAGTGTTCCATAAATAAAATACTGACTGAATAAGATAGAATACAATTAATCGCAGAGGGAAATTCAAAACTTTATTGATGCCGCTTGTCATATCATGTGGAAAAATGATTGTGTACAGGAAAGAGTGTGTGTTTGGGATACAGTAGGAAAGATGTGCTTCTGCTACTTGATGGTGAAATTTTTTAAGAAATGTAATCAAGAGATTTAAATATTTTAAACTGTTAGGCCCTGAAATGCCTCAGCATAGACAACATGTCATTATATGTTGGCAGAGCAAGCAGTGAACCTGAACTTGCATTATTAATGATTATTTGAAGGTGTTTTATACCCGAGCAATGGCAGTCTTCATTTTATAGTGAATATCTGGTGATATATTTTTGAATGTCTCCTTCAATAAACTGTCTGTAATGCTGCTCTAGAAAATACCACCACACTACTACACAACCCACAAGTAATGTGTAATTTCAGGTCCTTGTGAAACATTGAATCCCTCCAGCTTTCGAAGCTCCACCTCGGAAACTGAACCAGTCAGGTGATTCCAACTGAAGCACCCAAGTGGTTCAAATGCCTTAAATCACATGGCTTCTCCTTGACTGGAACAAGCCTTGGTACAAAATATCATTAGAAACTCGCTACTGAGTTCAACACAAGCTTTGAAGCCTCTGTGTCAAAAGCAACATCACAACCTGTATCTGTTCTGTACTCTGACCCTAGCCTGTCCTGTTCACTATGTTTACTGATTCCCCACTGGATCTGGAAAATAAGTGCATTTTGGATTGTGGATTGTTTCTTAATACAATAAGCCTCTTGTGAATGGATCCTAACTAACCCTCTGAGTCCTGTATGTTAGAGGCGAATTCCAGTTCTGATTGACCTGACCTGCAAACCTAAACACTATAGGACTGAACTTACATGATTCACAAGAATCAGATCCACTGTATTTGAAATGCTTAATGTGAGAACTACTTAAGTGAACCACTTTTTGTCTTAATATTAAGTTACTTATTAAGTTACAGTGCAACATCATAAGACAGGGAAAAAAATGTCATTGCCAAGACTACATTGTAATAAACTGTTGTAAATTTTACAGTAATTTACTGGCAGTTTTGGGTGCCAGTAAACAACTGTAAAATATATTTACAGTAAAATCTTAATGTTGTATAAGATGATACATAACCCAGCACACTTGCTCTTTTGGCTGATGCAGAATACAATGGAGTTGAAGGTTACAACTCTTTCCCAACCACAGCAGTGGGATTTGAACACACAACCTTCTGAGTGCCGACTCAAAGGCTTAACCACTGAGCCACCACAACCTCACTGTAACTAGTTTGCATTGATTCAACTACTTCTAGCACTGAATTAATGCCACTAAAAGATTGCAATGAATCAGTGTAAGCTAGTTGTGTTAGCTGTGGCAGCTCAGTGGTTATAGCTTCAAATTATAGATAAGAAAGTCATGTGTTCAAATCCCAGCCTCACCAAACTGCCTTGAGTGAGACCCTTCAGCTCAGCTGTATCCTGCATTAACATGCTGGGTTATGTGTTACTTAATACTATTTATGATATTACACTACTTTACTGTAAATATGTTTTACAGTTGTTTACTGTAGATTTTTACAATACTTTATTGGCAACCCATGTTGCCAGTAAATCACTGTAAAATCTACAGTAAATTTTTACAGTGTAGGTGGCAAACCAGGCTGGCGAACATTATAATGTTTTAAAGAGTTGAATACTGACTTGCACTTTATTCCTTGGACGTCTGGAGAATCTTCACTCTCTGCCAGTGCACCAATACGGAATTGTAGCTCTTAGTGGTGCATGGTGGGTCACAAGTTTTGGTCATCACTGTGAAATTCAGTTCTGGTTATAAGGCAGTATCTACAGAAATATTGTGACAGGGTGAAATTTTCAATGAAGCCTCCAATGCAATATGAAACCAAGTTATCTCCAGCAATGCAGTGAAGAGTTCATTTAACAACTGATCCCTCTGAAACAAGTCCCCAGACGTGCCAGAAATCTGAATTTAACAGGCTTTTCGGTATCTCTCTTACAGGTATATAGCATGCTTAGTATGCTGTTCTGGTCAAGAAATACATTTTAGGCTCTCTCTCTCTCTCTCTCTATACATACACACACACACACACACACACACACACACATATATATATATATATATATATATATATATATATATATATATATATATATATATATATATATATATATATATATATATATATAAAAAGTTTTTTTAAAAGACAGCCTTAGAGTATGCTGTTCTCATGGGCCCTCTATTACATGGGGAAAAAAAATCTTATTCCTTCACTGCATCACTGATTTTTGCAACACCCTCATCTGGAAGTGTGAGATGTTTCAGAACCACACTTGGCTTACTTAAAGTATCTGTCTGACTGTAGCCTTCTGTCAAGGCTTACCTTCTAGCTATGTTCCTGAAAGCAAGCACAACCACTTTGTTTATAAACTAGCCTATATTCATGCAAGTCACTGTTAATGACTTGTGAAATTGTTGGTTTAGAAATGAAGAAGCACCACAGATGTCAACTCCGCTGATGATGTGCGGAGTATTTGGGTCTCCTATCAAGCAATGTTAGAATACCTAGATGGCATTATACCATCTACAAGGTAATGTTATCTTACCAAATGAGGTACAACAAGTGTTGGGTACTTTTATCAGCCTTTTCTAAATAATGAAGTACAGCAATACCCTCAATAAATCAACAGCCTACCTCATCACTTCAAGGTGACATCATGACAGCTCTCAGTAACACTAACTCCAACTGAACTCCACTGGCTTCTATAGATTCGAGGGTGTACTTTGTGTACATGGGCAGAAATGGGAGGTGGGATAAAGGAGTAAAAAAAAGAAATGGTTCCGGTGTTGCTGTACTTCATCTATTTAACAGCCGGGGTGGACTTAGCACTAGGCATAGATGGGCAAGCTTTGGGCCCCCAGAAGCCAAGGGCCCCCTAAAAATGCAAATGATATATATTTGTAATTATTATTGCTAAATAAAGTATGCTCAAATTTAAAATATTGATGTTAAAACACTGACAAGAGGGTCCCATTGCTATATTTTGCCTAGTGCCCCCAAATCACTAAATCCGCCCGTATTAACAGCTAGAAATCTAATCTTGTCTAATGCACCTTTAACAGTCTAATACTGTCCCCTAGATAGTGTATGATCGGGCATCTGATTTCGATTATTTTGTCAAAAGTCCTAAGTAAAGTGTGAGCTAAGCTCCACTTGCTCCATATATGGCTCGAATGCGTCTTCACTGACCTCACGTCATCGCATTTTGTCAGTAGTAGGGTTGTCAGTTTTTATTAAAAAAAAAACACCCTTTCCCTCACAAACAGCTCCAACTCTAGCCGGCACGTGACCGACCTTCAGCGCTGAAATGTGGTTGAAATTATGTTGTTGTTGTTTCAACGTTGCAACAACCTTTAATGCTAAATGGACGTACAAAGTTTAACAAGAAATCAACACTGAAAATTTTGAAAGATGTGTACAAAACAAAACATACAAAAGAAATATCTGCCTTTTAAATAATTATTATGATCATTATTATTATTTTATTAGCATTTTATTCTATTTTGATCATAAGACCTCTTCGAAAATCTACATTTATGTTCAAAATATGCTAATTATTATTATCATTAACAACAACAACAACAACAACAATAATAATAATAATAATAATAATAATAATAATAATGTATATATCATAATTAATAATTCTATATTATAATTGACTATATGTAAAGTTCGTATAGATTTAGATATAATATAGATATCTCACATAAAATTATATATATAAAATAACATCAATATCAATATCAAATATCAAGCCCCTTTTTTCTGTTCCATGCAGACACTCATCACAGTCTACGATCCAGACATATGAACCACTGTACACATGACTATAAACCAAAAAATATCAAATATATAATAATAGTGCTCCTCTATTGTAGCTTCACGTGTTGCAATATTAAAACATGACAAAACAATAATACATAAATAATACATAATTATTACAACACCATGCAGAACTCCCACAGCTCTGATGGGAGGGGTGTGTGTGTGTGTGTGTGTGTGTGTGTGTGTGCGCGCGCGCGCGTCTCTCTCTGGCGCGCTCTGGCTGTTATTCCTCTCATGGCCACTAGGTGTCCTCGTTACTGCTCGGCATTTCCTCTGCGCCTCCAGCTGCATTCGCTTCAGCAGTGAAAGCGCGCTGAAATGAGAAGCTCGACCGCACCGACAATCCTCAGCGAGGCAGCCGCTGAGTAAGCCGCTCTCGGTGCACAGTGCGGAATTTGGCGTCGTCGCTTACACGCAGTACGCGCAGCGGATGAGTGTGGAGAGCGCTGTGATTTCGAAGCCATGCGCGAGACTCGGGGCCATTACTGACCGGAAACTGGCGCATGCACCGGAGCTGATCATCCTGAGGATCGCCGATCAATTCATTTGGAAGCGGGGATTGAAGAGCATGATCCGGGCTTCGGAAAGGCCGTAGACAAGGTATGTGTGCTGGTTTTCATTCTATGTACACACACACACACAGAGGGAGCGAACGTGTTTGGCTCGCGGCTGGAAAGCAGCAGTGTTTAGAGGCATGGTGCGCAGAATGGTGTGATGTTATTTACATTTCCCACACAGCTCGTGCAGCGACACTGAGCCTCTCCATATCCACACCACTTCTGACCGTGGAGTGAAAATAAGCTTTGGAGTATCCTTTGAGATGTTGATCGACAGACAACTGAGCAGTTTTCAGCTTAGCAATCTCACAGCAAGGCTAAATTATACTCAGCTCTCCAAGTTTTGTGAAACCAGATTGTAAAATCTTCCATATTTCCTGATCAGGGCTGTTTGAATAGAATCCTGTTTGTGTGGCACTGCATGGTTGCTAAGTCCACCAGGAATGTAAACAAAGTGTGAACTGGGAAAGAGCTGAAATAGCAGGTTAGAAGAGTGATTTATAATTTCTCCCAAGTGCACTGCATGATTATAGAGTCCATCAGTACAGAGGCAACCTGTTCACTTCATCTGCCCCTGATCTGCTGTGTGAGGAAAGTGAGTGAGGGGGAAGGGAAAGCCAGTATCTAAGAGAGCATCAGGCTTGTGTTAGGTAGATAACAGATTCACACACTCTCAGTCAGTCTTTGCTTTGTGTAGGACTGAGGTTTGTTTGTTTTTTCAGGAGAAGAAACATGTATCATCTTATCTGCTGTACTGAAACTCGCTGAACGGGTTACAAAAATGCTGACACATGAAACAAAATGCTTTCCAACTCTCTACACGTGACACAAAACACTCTCCAACTCACTACATGTGACACAAAACACTCTCCAACTCACTACACATGACACAAAACGCTTTCCACCTTGCTACACGTGACACAAAACACTCTCCAACTCACTACATGTGACACAAAACACTCTCCAACTCACTACATGTGACACAAAACACTCTCCAACTCACTACATGTGACACAAAACACTCTCCAACTCACTACACGTGACACAAAACATTCTCCAACTTGCCACACATGACCCAAAACACTCTCCAACTCGCTACACATGATACAAAATGCTCTCCAACTTCGACAAAAACAGCAGAAAACACGCTCCAGTTCACCACACATGACACAAAACACACTTGCAGCTCACTACACGTTACAAAACACACTCCCGCCTGTTACACATGACAGAAAACACACTCCAGTTCACCACTCAAGGTACAAAACACTCTCCAACTCACTACACATGACAGAAAACACTCTCCAACTTCGACAAACACATCAGAAAACACACTCCAGTTCACCAGACCAGGTACATTACACACTCCAGCTCACGGTGCATGACACAAAACACACTCCAGCTCACGGCGCATGACACAAAACACACTCCAGCTCACGGCGCATGACACAAAACACACTGCAGCTCACTACACATTACAAAACACACTCCGGCTCACCTCACATGACACAAAACACACTCCGGCTCACCTCACATGACACAAAACGCACTCCGGCTCACCTCACATGACACAAAACGCACTCCGGCTCACCTCACATGACACAAAACGCACTCCGGCTCACCTCACATGACACAAAACGCACTCCGGCTCACCTCACATGACACAAAACGCACTCCGGCTCACCTC